AAAAAAAAAAGAAAGAAAGAAAGAAAAAAGGAAACTTCATTTTAATCACATAAAACTTTAAACATTAAGAAAACTAAAGCCGTGTATATACGATTGAAATACAAGCTGTAGTGTTATGACGTGAGCGAGTGCTAAAGAAATTTGGTTAAATATCGCATGTCCTTTTTCAATTCGTTCTTTTAGCTTCCCAAGAGCATAAGCCACTTCTGATGATTTGGGTAGCACTAAGCTACAATTATCAGGAAGGCGGCAAAAAATTTCCGCGTTGATAACAAATTGCTTCAAGTCATTAACTAGTTAGAACAGTGGTCAAGTAGCTTGCACAATTAAACGTCCTGTGTATTTGAAATACCTTAAATATTAAGTGTTAAGACATTAAAACGCATGTTCTCAGCTGATTGAACGATATGTTACTGTTGATTAGACATGACTTGTTTTGTTTGCTACCAGCTGTATGATTAAATGACAAAAAAATTAACTGACATTTCTTTTGCTTGAAATAGAAATGATGGAGGACCAAAGATGGATACCGTAGGCACACCATAGTGACTTTTTGTTTGCCGTGTGATCGATATGGTACCGTTGATTAGGAAACAACCTGCTTGTTTGGTTCCAGCTTGCTGATCAAATCATTGAAAGTTATCTAACCGGTTTTTTTTTTATTTGATGAAACGATTAAGGGCCAAAAATGGATCTCGTAGGCACACCCTAGCATTATATAACACCTCTAAGCCTAGTGCTTTGAGATTATTAACTAATAACGAATGCTAAGGGATATATTACAGCGGCAATTGAGAATATACAAGAGAATAAGCGATAACCGAACTCACTAGCAAGCGCGTGGGAGCTGTGAAGCCGAAAAGGACCAATAATAGATCTGTGTGGAATACCGTTTCTTGCTCCGAAACCAATTTTTGGTTAGGCCTAGATCTCTTTTAAATTGCTTTGAAACATGATAAAATTTAGAGTCTAAAATAATTCAAGTTAAATTAAATTAAATTAGCACAAGTCGATGAAATTTGAAAAACGGACCAAAGATAGACCTCTTTAGCACACATTTTGCTCATACGTTTTCAGGATTAGCTCGAAACAAATCCCTGTAAAATAAATCTAAATGTTTCACAGTTATTTAGATAAATAGAAGCTGGATAAGAGTTCAAACCCGGTATTCCGCGTCGATTAAGAATCTGTCTAAGGACTGAATATAGATCTCGGGCAAACCCGTTGCATAATAGTGTCGAGGTTGGTTTTCAACCAAATCTCTGTAAAATACACCTATATTATATACATGTATTTAGATGAATAGAAGCTGAATAAGAATTCAAAACCGATCATCGTCGATTAAAAATTATTTAAGAAAAACCTTTGAAGTGACAGCACTTAGAACTACTCTGATTGGATAGCGGTGTTTACTGAATGACGACAGCTGTGCAAAAGATATTAGACCAAAGCGCTAACATGAAATCCTTTTTGTATAGAGAGACATTGTTCACTATAGTTTAGTATTTGATTCAACTTGGATAGATAATTAGCAAAACGTTCACTGGCAGACGTGGGATTTTTGGTCATATGGACCGGAGTATGATAAAGCTTATAACCAAACATGTATTTTACGAATACGTTTTATATGTTTGAATATTTATAAGTCGGTTGACTTAGCAATTAATGAATTAAAAATATATGGTCTTGAAATGACCCGTGATAATTCTGCGCTAAACATACACCTTGGTATCAGTCATCGATAAAAAGGGATTTACAATTCTATACTTAAAAAAATAGAACAATGTACGAGTACACTTGATAAATGAAATGACAAGGGAGAGTGAGAAAGGAAGGAAGGAAATTAAGAGGAAAGAAAAAAGAACTCCCAAAAAGAGCTAAAGATAAATAAAGAAAAGAAAAGAAAGTAAAAATTTCCGAAAGAAATATTCATCGAGAAAGCACTATTACTAACAAATCAGAGGCTTGAATTTCTCTTAATAAGTTATATGAATGAATACATTTTCTTCTTATTTCTGTAAACTATACAACATTGTAACAAGAAACCTCGCAATTCAAATTTTCAATTTATCTTTATAACAGCGGATAAAAAAGAACACAGTTAGTTTAGTCGTTGTTTTTAGTCGTTGCAAATTTTCAATTTATCTTTATGACAGCGGATAAAAAAGAACACAGTTAGTTTAGTCGTTATTTTTTCTTCCATGGAAATCAAGCGCAATGAGTTACTTTATGGCGGCACTAAAATGACAAGTTCCACCTTAGCGAAATGAAGTGCATCATTTAATCATTGGAGCCAAGGTTTTCATATCCCATTAAAAAACCTGCTAAATAATAACACAATCACTCAATCTACAGGGAGAATCAATCCGTCTGGGTAATGAAGAAGGTATCCACGGTGAACATTTAGTGACTTAGCCGAGCTCATATCTGGTTAATAATCTTTGAGGTCAATTTAGAACGACTTCCCATGTCTGTATAGCTTCCAGTATTCAGAATTATCAAGCGATTTTACTTTAAAATTGTACTTCCATTCGCGCATTGTGTATTATATAAAGACAACAGAAAGCTTTCATTTGTCATTTGAGTATAAATTATTCAAAGCCCACATGGAATAATTAGAATAAATAGACCGAATAAAGGCAACATTTGGTCGTTTGAATATTGGTCTCAGCGCTGGGCTATTTTATGAATTAAGATTTCGGGGGACGAAATTAGACCCGAATTTAACCCCAGGATGTATTCACAGCCATCATCTAAAGCCCGCACTAGAGCCATGATGAAGTAGTTCTTCAGGATTAAGACATTTCCTTTTATCTAAGACTCTTCGCTTCCGCATCGAGAAATCCTCTTTTTGTCTACAAATTTGCCTTAAATATACCATAAATAAGAGCTCAATACTAGGTTGTCCTTCAAGAGAAATAATAAAGAGCTATCGACATAAGTTGTAGTAACTAGGACTTACATTCA